TTTTTAACAACTAGTCCTTTTTACTTTATCCAGAATGTTTTGTATAGTATAATATAGTAGTTTTCCGAAGTCAAAAATACTCTTGTAATACATACACATGTAATTCAAAATTCAAGCGTATGTTATACATCGGTAATTCTCTACACTTTCCATGAATCTCTTATAATTTTTCGCGAGGTGCGTGAAATAATTATTTAGACACAAGTCGGAAACAATTAATATAACGGAAAGGAACACCAATGACCAATACTTATATCCGTTATTGATGGGTTGGGTATATCGCCCATTGGCATTCCTTCACCAATCTAAATCCTCGCGAAAAAGTAAACTTAAGGATAATACCGAGAATTCGACTTCTGAGGATTATCATTTTGGTGATGATAGGCTGTTTCAGGAATGTCGTTAACATTGACGATATTTACCTAACTTTAACACCTCGTATATTAGGAAACACATTTGGATCATGATTCACTACAGAGATGTAAATGATTGCGTTCTTTTTTCGACATGAAAATTAACAAGACTCCGTTCAATTCCCAAAACGATAAAAGTGGAAATATACACAAGCTCATATGTAATTGCAAATGTTGCTAGTAATCAATGTAGATAAGATATATGTCATGTAAACACAAGCGAAAGGCTTGGGAGTAACGACGTGGAAACTGTGTTTTCACTTTAAAAAAATGTAATGAAGATAAATGAGAGAAAAAACAAAGAAAAACAAATATATTTAAATACAACAAAATATCTCATCCAATACGTTTAAAATGAGATTTACTTGAATATATGTTTTGTGGGGCAGCATAATAAAAACAGCTACAAAGATTGGGTAATACCATATGTATATAGTGAAAACAATTTGAATTAAAACGTATTTAATACATATCTGACGAGTCGTGATACATGTTGTAAACGTTGACTTAGATGAAATAAGTTATGCTGGAAGGGTGCACAGATATTTCTGAAAAATCTATGGAATGAAACACACTCGGTCACCAACGATCTTTTATACGAGACGGCCTATGGTATAGAGAACTGACAGCGCGTCCAATTTCTGATCATCTACGATATACACACTCAGCAGTTTGATCCCCACATATGTACTCAATAGGCTAACGTGACACTGGTAACAATCAATAAAAAAAAACGTCGGTTGAATTTTAACTTTAATTCTGAGAACTGATTTTTGAGTTTCGTTTTTGGCCGTTTTCTGAAAACGCCGATCTGGCATCTGATCAATGCATTTTATCTGTATACACAATGGGTGAGAAGAGTTCGGCATGTATGTGTATTTCCTGTAAACAGCAGGCTTTGCTCTTGTTAAATACGTGGAACAGGATAACGCTAGGTATGAAGTTCAGCGAAAACTAGATACTAAATATAATTTATTTAATAACACGTACTTGATGTACCTATGTGTCTTGAGGGGTTTTGAAAGAGTTTTTATTGCGCATTGTCGTTGTGTGTGTGTGATAATAGGTACAGAATGATTGGTTTTATATTCTTCTATCGTTTCACTTTCACCTCTTCAATCACATATATCTGTCCGGTTTAAAACCGAGAACCGACAGCTGGGTCGCTATACATGTATGACGTTACCGTAGCTCACAGTTCGATTTCCGAGTGAAATATTTGGATGTACATAATCGACAAATTTTATAGACAAAATCCTGTGAAGCCTATTTCCATGTCTTCTAGCGGAGTTTAACCATGTTATCGTAAGAAATCTGATACGATTTAATCCCTGGTTATTTAAAGGGCCTCGACACCCTTACAGGTCGGGAATTGTGAAAACATTATACCTGTCGTTACCCGAACGTTGTATGTTGTAGGAGGCGATTAACGTGGGAACCCCTGTATGTTGTAGGAGGCGACTAACGTGAGAACCCCTGTATGTTGTAAGTGGCGGCTAACGTGGGAATCCCTGTATGTTGTAGGAGGCGACTAATGTGGGAACCCCTGCATACTTTGGGATTTGCTTTTGTGCCTTCTATCTAAGGTGGTCGTTTGACGCAGTGGATAGCGCATTTGCCTTCCACCAAGGCGGTGTTCGATTCCCCGATCGAACATGAAAAGTAATGGTCTCACTTGCCCGACTACATAGGTTTTCTCCGGATACTCTGGTTTCCTTCGACAATAAGATCCACCGCGCTAACATACGGGCCAACACGAGCGATTGATATAAGTTGAAATAATTTGTTTCATAATTGTTGTAAAATAAATATATATATTTAGGGACAAAACAATGATCAAAGTAAATCTGCTCCACACATTCCACCATTTGAGATCTTTATATTGTTTCTGTATTTCCTAATACACGTGTGCAGGTTGGGTATTTGGAAAAGAATATACCTGCTCTTACCAGGAAGGCGAGAGTGTTATCCAATGCACGACCCGACCACCCAGTAATTACAGCTTTACAACCCGATACAAACGCTATATCCTAACAACCTTATTGTTAGCACGTGCTTTCCTTGGTAATTCCTTACTTTACTAATGATTGCCTGAGTGGATATGTTCGGGTATTTGCTTCACTGCGATGGCGCAGATCTGATGCTGACGTTAGGGTGCTTTCTCATTGAAACACCATGTCGAAGGTACTCAGTCCAGCAATCCACCCAGTCACATTATAGTGTCAAAGAGTTAACCCTTAATTGCGCTTTCTCTAAATGCTAAATATAGAGCAAGGAATAACATTTATCCATGTTTATGACTTCGATAAATTCTGACCTGAGGACGCAAGTACTTGAATCCGTTTTATCAGTTACCTTCGACATCTCCTCCCTCATCACCCCGTCTACCCCTCAGAAAAAATGTCGGAAGAAAGAAACTCAGACATTGGGACATGAACAAGCTACAAGCTATACTGTAGTATTTAAAAGAGGACAATGTGAACTGTATTTGTATACTGAATGTAGATCAAAAACTCTCATAATGTAATCTGTAATGATAAAAAGTTGCAGTATTGCTTTCCCCATGAATGAAAAACGCTATTTGTAACCAATTTGTTTTACAACATGACAAAGGGTTTGGTAAGAAAGGAACATATTGAAGACAACTACAACGCTAGCATATTATAATAAAAACAGCATTTATTATTATTATTTTTCACAACGTTATACAGGTTATAAGAAATGTAAGCGCATTTCAAAAGCTGTCAATCTGTCTTAACATATTACTGCACTATATTATAGCAAAGATATAGTAACTTGGTTTAAAGTATACGATATATCTTATGTATAATATATATTACATATAACTTAACATACAGTATATAAGATATATTTTATAAAATATATCTTGTATCTTATGAATGCCAACTGCAATCGGTTCAATTAAGATATCAGTGTTCATAAATAACATATAAAGGCAGATAAATGGAATATCAATATCTACAAATAACTTATAAAAAGATATTAATATACATAATTAAACTATAAACCAATTTATATTGTAGTCATATACGGATAAGTTTTGTTTTCTTTTTGCTACAAGTCGAACATTTCATGTTTTTGAACGACCAGTATAGCACATTTGAAAATAATATCCTTCTTGGCATGCATACAATATTAACTAATGATTATTGTAAACCCTCATATTTGACTTATTGTATATCATTACGTCAGTTTGCAAATTCTAAAATCTCGACAACACTTTTTTTGTTTGTTCTTAACAAAAGTATATACAGAATACGTTTTTTACACTGGGTGTTCTTTACTATCCTTCTCATTGTTACCTCCCCTTTAATGACCAGTCAATCATGCAACCTTAATTTAAATACGAAAAAGCTGCAATTATATTAATACAAATATACAAGTTATAACTAGACCTCACAAAGAGTCCTGATGTCTTTGTATGACTCTACCCCTGTAACACTAAAAGGCTCTGATCTTAAAACTGTATTTCTCTCAATTCAACTTGATATTGTCAGTTTCCTATATCTGTCAGTTCATAAAATGTTTGATAAGCTATAGCTTGGTGACCTATATTCACTATCAAGACTTTTCAAAAAGTAGAGAGGCACTGTCAAAAAACTATGGACGTGGTGGCCAAAATAGAAAGTATACAAGTTTTGTTTTGCAATGGTTATTATTTTATAAATGTTTATATTGTCCCATTGTAAACGTCGATTACAATACCAAGTTATACACTGCATGTACATTAAGCATTCAGTGTAGGATTTGGTATATTGACCATGCATGACTATTCCATTATTTCCCCACAAGTCCAAATTATTTATTGTTCCTATCCATATTTATTTGCTCATAGATTTTTGGGAATTTGATTCACAGTAACAATTAAAGGAAATATATCTCTAACCATAATTTGTCAACTGAAAATGAAAGTGAAACTAGGTTTGTAACATGATTCGTGGAACGATATACACACATGTAACGTGTGTTCGAGGCCGTCATTGCTTTCTGTAAACCGCAAAACATAGGTCATGTAGTTCTTCTATGTAGATTAAACCGAAAGCACACTGAACAGACCTCTTGTGATATTTGAAACAGACGATGACTATTACGTTATAACACTACAATAGTGCTTGGCTACAGATCCGATTAACATTGTTAACAGTTCCTAGGTAAACGGAAATTTGATCTGTGTACTCCCCTGTTGGATTTATTTTATAACCTCACTTGTTAAACGATGACAGTAATTTCTAGATATATTGTTCAAACTACATCGAACAATGTCACATATAAACATAACGTTAATACATATGTGCTATAGATTTAATGCGTATGTACTGTTAACATTGTGAGGAGGAGGCTCGTTTAGTCTGTGCCTGTTGCCCGATTCTGTTCGTACTTGAGATATGTACAATATAATCTGAAAAAGACTAGCTTTTACTTGCTGTCATATAATTTTAGTATTTACTCTATGGTCTTTATATAAAATTTATCTTATGTCAGAATAATTGTCTGACAAATATTTTTCTTGGTCAAACATGTTATTTCTTTTGGAAATATTTCTATCTAATTAAAATTTGTATGTTTATATTGCCTGAGTCATTTAAGTGTTACATTTAAATTATATTCTGTTCAAGCTTTGAAAAATATTTGTAAAATGGTCAATCATATTCTATTCAAGCTATGACAATCATTTGTAAAAATGTTCAATTATATTCTGTTCAAGATATAACAAAATATTTGTAATGTTTATTTATATTCTGTTCAAGTTATGAAAAAAACCCATTTATAATGATCAATCATGTTCTGTTCAAATCATAACAAAATATTTGTAATGTGTTCAACCATATTCTATTCCAGTTATGAAAAACATTTGTAAAAATGTTCAATCATATTCTGTTCAAGTTACGAAAATATATTTGTAATGATCAACTATATTCTGTTCAAGTTATAAAAAAAATATTTGAGATGTTCTATCATATTCTGTTCAAGTTATGAAGAAATTACATTGATGAACACGTCTTCAGACAGCTCATTAACAACGTTTACGTTTTGTACAAAAATAGATAAAGAACTGCAATAAAAAATAATATTTATACGACATATGATGGTTCTTGTCATTGTTCATATACATTGGTGTTCGTTGTATAACCTTTCTTTTGACACGAAATCAATATATTGGAACAGTCATTCATTGCAAACATTAAATGTATTACATGCATTCCTGTTGGTATTTGTGAATATTAGCTGTTGAATGATCTCCAATTAAATGGAATAAATACACCAACATTCATACGCTAAATTCAAAATATTGATAATACCTAAGCAATCCGCGCTATAGCTGCAGTGTTTTGAAAGGATTTAAATAAAATGTAACACTAGCAGTCATATTTTGAATACAATAGTACATAAATAATATACAATAAATGTGCTTTACTACTATTGCAAACATATCCCTCATATCTTGCACTCATACACATATACTAGTACAGAATATACAATGCTACCCATATCTGTTCAGTACTGAACCAAAAGATAAGCCAGTAATATATGTAAACAAAAAAACAAAAAACAAAACCCCACTGAATAATATACCAAATACAATGAGATACAAATGTATGCAATGGGTTATATTACGAAATAAAATTTAGTTGATCTCTAAATGTATGAGACAATTCCTTCCAGAACACATTTCAGCACCGAAACGACAGACGTTGCTGACGAAAAAGACATTGATAAGTTGTTAGGATCCAAACTTTATACTTGCAGCAGTTAATTGAATAAGCCAACATAGCAATTGGAATTGACAATATACAGAACAACGTCCTTCTAATCCGGCTTGTATAGACCTTTTATTTACTATTATATATTAGTATTGTTAATTGTTTAAATTATGGCGGTGTGCCTGATAATTTGGCCAAAAGTATTATTACGTGTCTAAAGCACACACTGGTTCTAGTATTACACACTTCCTTACGGTACAACGGTGCTTTCAACCAGCACATGTATCCCAAACACGTCTTGTTTTCTTAACACAGTGCTATTAGTATGAACTGGTATCACACACAAAATTCCGGCACTAATACATGTATAAAAGCTAATGAATGAGTATGCTTTTTTCATGAATGAGATATTACAGGTGTAGTTTCTAGTTTTGCGAGTACTTGGAGTGCCGAAAGTAAACCTTTGCGGCGTGTTTCAGAAATGGTAAAAGCATGGATATTTGACACAGAAACTTAAGGCCGTCAGCAGATCTATGACCCAGCTACCCCGTATCAATGACGGCCTCTCTACTGCCATGGTTACACATCCAGGTAATGTAGTACTTAATCTGAATCAAGATGTTCACAGAAAAATTCAATAAGCTCCGAGATTTGTTCAATATACTTTATCCATTCATCATTCTCCTCATCTAGGGACGGTAATTTTGGTACCACGGTTAGTTCTTGCTTTGACACAACGTTTAAGAACGTTCCATCACAAGTGGGATTGGAGTACTCGGTCACTGTCGATACCTCGATGTCCATGTTTGGGAATTTTTTTTCGGTGGAGATATTACCTTCGCACTGATAGTACTTGATGTGTTTCTCTCTCGCGAACGTAATCATTCTTAAAAAAGGACGGGCTATCCTCACCCGGTTTTGCTCTGATTTTGTGAGTACGGATACATTCCATTTCGAATATTGCCCTTCTATATGTCTTCCCGACTGTAACTTGCAGCGAACATCCAGTCGTTTTCCTCCATTTTGTTTGACTCCTCGACAAATGTCGACCATCATCCACTTTAAATCGGACAGACGTAACTCAGTTACTTTGAGATTTTCGTCTAAGATAAACAATCCGCTGCTCTCTTTTTCCATCAGAACACGTGCCTGGTATTTTACATCCTGAGATATGAGTTTGAATGAAAGACTGTTCAATAATGTATCGACATTGCGTTGGTTACATTTCAGAGGTGTAAATGAACCTCCAACCTTTTGTACGTAGTGACGACTTTGACCCCTCACTGATCGGGTGTCTACGTTTTCAGTTCTTTTGGATTCCAATTCTGATATTGTATAGTCCTGTCTGTCAAGGTTGAATAGGTAAAATGTTCCAAAAGTAAGCGCTATCCATAAATCCCCATGGTATGTGTTGACGAAGTCTTGGCGTATTATTTCCAATCGTTCTTTGAAAACCTGTTTAAAAGCAGTTGAATCTGATGCTTTGACACTATCAGGTGTATACGGCGAAGCCGTATATAAGGTCTTTTGTTCGTGTGCAGAATGTCTAGGGCCACAGTATGGTGTAAATTTGAGTCGATCGTCAGGACTTGTGGAACCGCTGTATACACACTTGAATGCACCCTCTATTATATCGGTTCTACTAACCGTTGTGTCAATATTCGACTTTTCTTCAAGATCCTGAAGGGATAACTGAACAGTCCATAGCTGCTCTGGACTTCCCCACGCTTCCAGCATAAGCCCGGGGGTGTCTCTGAATGGCAAATCAATGATGTTAACCTCTGCTCCGTATTCTCGTGACAGCCTTTGTGCCACGTACGTTTCCGCGCCCATCACGTAATTCAATACGTTTAATGGTAAGATGAATATCATCGAATCCTTTTTACGGATCGTTTGATCGAAGAATACCGCTACTGATCTGTTTTTTGCAATTTCTTGGTAAGCAAAAAGGATTTCGTCTGTCATTCGTCGGAATTCTTTTGCTGTTCGCTTGCCTGAAATTAAACGTCTATGAGACGGATAGGTAGGATCTAACACGGAAATATCCACTTCACCATTTGTATTTGGTTTCAATATGGACTTCAAGCCTATGAATGTTTTCATCAAAAGATATGCTGCATGTCTTTCCTCATTGGGTGGAATCCACGACCTCTCATACCTTTGTCGTTGGGTGTTTTGTTTGATTGAAGATTGTGTCGCTGCTGCTGCTGTGTAATCTTTATTTAAGAGGATCCTGAGAGCCAGAATCACAAACACGACTTCCGAGAACACTGCTCCCCGAAATTCGCCTATCAGCTCGTACTTCCTGGCCCAGTCGAGGAGAAACGTAAGGATAAGCGTGTAACATGGGCGATTTTGGAGTTGTCGTCGAAGAAACAGCATTCTTTCAGGGGCATTGGCATCCATAAACATTTTGAAAGAGTTCTCATTCGAAACGAAATGTTGATGGATCGATGATCCGATTTTGGCATGGACATGGCTTTCTCTTGTCTGTTTGGAATCATCTATACCGGAAAGCCCATCAGGCACGGCAATGATTCGTTGTGATTTTATTTTTGCAAGTAAATCACTCAAAATCCACGGACAGCTGACCATAACCTTCCCTTCTGAGGCCATTGTGAAAGACGCAACGTAGTAGGCTGCAGCTTTTGCTAAGATGTCGCTTTGTCCGTCCGTGAACGGATTGATATTTTTGCAGTGCTCCTCTCCTCCGAATTCATCAAAAAAGGCTTCTCGAAATTTTTGTCGGATAACCGAGTTCTTTTCCTTCAGTATTTGTGCTATCTCGTACCTTTCGTTCGGGAAATATCCTCTTTTTGCTTTCAGATTATGAATGATACCGGTTACAACTTCTGTTTCAGTTTCAATTCCATAAAGAGACATCAAATTTGCGATTTTGTCATTGTATCTGTTAACATGTAGACATGCAGACTCCATGAACTTCTCATATCCCGGATAAATAATACCTGGATCTGCGACAGGAGCTTGTTTGAGTAGGTCAACATTATATGTGCGACTGTGAGCTTGTTCTAATGATCTGCACTGGCGGTATAACTTTCCTAGGATATTGGCTGACGTATAGCGAGGTTTGTCAGATTTCATCATAAAGTCCGGATATTTGTCAGGCCTTAGGTTTGTTGCCATCTGGGGTACAACTCCTGTCTTCGGAAAGTCGACAGCATCTGAATGCATTTTGCATAAGTTTGTACATTCCTCACAGAAAATGTCTTTCAAGTCTGCATGGACAACGTGAGCATTCGCGATTACACCGAGCTGGTCGTTATTGATATATTGTGATATAAACTGTGTGACATCTGATACCTCTACTTGTCTTGGAAGTTTTAATTTTGTAGATTTTGGATAGTCCATAGGGGGCATATTGTCCCCCGGAGGAAAAAGTGTCGTATCCCAGCAAACGAAGTACATGTCTCCGTCCAAATCCGAACCAGACATCTCGTCTGGATGCGGACGGGGTCCTTTTTGGGGAAACACGATACAGTCCACAAGATGATGAAGTTCTGGCACATTCACTGCCTGGTATTTACGCAGGTCACCAGGGTGAAAACAAGGGTTTTTTGCAACGACGACTTCGTTGTCCATGACATCGATACCACTGTAGGTCATTCCGTCATTTTTCGTGTAGGAGATGAAAACTTGTCCGTATTCTAAGGTGCCTGTCTCATCAATCGTTCCCATCATAATTCTTCCTTGATCACAGGGTAGCTCAATCCTAGCTTTTCGAGTCAACTCTCCCAGTTTGCTTTTGTATATTGTCATTAAGACTGACCTGAAGAACACTTCGTCTGTTAAGGATATCCCAGCCCTTTTTAAGTCCTTCCATTTGATCCCAAAGTGCACCTTTCAAAGAATAAGGTTAACTATTAGAGTATGCATCATTCACTACAAAGTGTTAGTTCCAAGACTTTTACACTATTGATTTAAAAACAAAATCTAATAATGTATATGTTGTCTATGGGGATGAGCATACAGTAATTACCTCCGCTAGCGCTTTCATTGCTTTATGGTCATCTAACAACATGTCAGCCATGTTAAATAACATCTTCTCTTGCAGGGTGAGGAATACGTGGTCTGGAACGCCGCGGCCCGACATCAGAGTGATCACCTGCCTGTTTAGATGTAGCTTCCCTGTACAGAAAGACGTGGGAAAAAGTATGTTAAAACGAGTAAAGAAGATAATATAAATAATCAGATCGACCATTTGAAACATATTTAGAGTATCGATTACAAATTATGAAAGCCTTTTATTTGAAAGAAATTAAACAAGAGATAATGTATAAAAAAACCTTTTCTATTTGCAGCTGCCATTCATGTTGTAAGTGATCCAACTTTAATAAGTTTAATGTTTCAATACTTATGCTGACATTTTCACAAACGATTTACTTACACAGTCTGACTTTATATTTCAGTTTTGAAATTTATATTCATAATTATGTAAATATAAACAAACCAGGGCGTGTCATGTTAAGAATTTCCAGATTTTTCGATGGCGATTCAAATTTCCGCATGCTTTTTCCTATGATAATTTGATCTCTGCGACCTAGAGTGGGATTTTGCGCTACCACTCCCTTGCAACCCCCGTATCGGATCTGAAACGCCGATGGTACTTCCTCAAGCTTCAATTTCGTCGCCACCTGTAAAAAATACAATTTTAAAAGTCTGGGTTACATTCTAATCCTTTTCCCTTTCACAAGTTATAAGCAATGCAGCCTTACAACAGAGTGTTGTAATAACTGGGGAACAAGAGCAAATACACAGATAGTTATTACTTTCTTTTGCCAGTAAAATATATCTGTTATTAGTAAAGCAATGCAGCAGTGCAGTGTATTGTAATAACTGTAAAATCAGAGAAAATAGGAAAAACTCATTATAATTTTACTGGTGAAATACATTGTTTTAAAGCTGATATTTGTCTGTGAAACAAACCCATTTTTTTATTTCCAAACATTTTGTTCAGGTTGGTAAGTATGGATTGTAAAAAGATTCCTGTAAAAAAACAAATGAGTGTTATATGTGACGTTTCGATGACAAGTACGGTATGTACTCTGTCACATCAGACAAATGACTACTCCACTGGATGATGAAGGTGATCGTACTAGTCATCGAAACGTCACATATGAACACGTATTGGTTGTATTACATGAAACTTTTCACAAACACTTATTTTATTGAAGAACATGAATCAGAATTTAAATACACTATAAACACCTATACACCTATAAACAGGTATTTTCAATTGTAATGTCACAATAGTCCTGACGTTTTTTATCGTGACTTCGCAGTATTTAAACTGTTCCAAGAAACCAAAGTCTTTGAGTTTAAAAATGCCACATGCTAATCTTGGTTTCTTGATGAACAACGAATGCCTAACTGTTTTCATTAAGTACCCGAGAATATTCCCTTAAACCTTTTTCTTTTCATCTTTTTAACAAAAAGAGTTAATGGTATCGTGTGAAGTTACATGCATAATACTCATGTATACGCTTTTAAAAAGTATATATATATATTTACATTTACACTGTTCCCCCAACGAAAAACAAACTTATTAAAAAGAATAAAACATGAACACACCTTTTCAGCCAGAGATACCGATATCATGCCGATTCCATCCGTGAAACAGTATGATTCGTTTGTTATGTCTGATACGTATTTAACGCTTCTGTCGTCTACCGCAACAGTAGCCTTTGAAGCGGAGAAACACAAACCCATGCGCGATACGTATGTTGCAACACACCTCTCCGAAGTAAGATCGCCAATATCATTTCTTATGCTTTCCGATGTTATGTCGTCGTAAGGGCAAAAGAACCACACTCCGTGTTCTCGCAACTGGCTATTGGAGCAGGCTAAAAACTCGTACTTCCTGTCGCCAATTGTAAATCCTCCGTCTAGAAATGTGCGTATTCGTTCAGAAATTATGTTCAGTGCGTTTCCACTAGCACTTAGTCTTGTGAAATCTTCATCTCGGAAAATAACACGGATGAAGTTTTCGTCATTGTATTGGCGAATAATTCTGTTTTTGACAATTGGTTCCTTGAAGAGAGGAATTAAACGGGTTGGAGTCACTACCAGTCGTCGGGACATAGTGAAATGTGGAGGTAACTCATCACTATCGGCCTCTAAATGTCTGACCTGTTGCAGGCTCTCCGTCAATACGTTCTCGAAATCAAAGAATTGGGTGTTCTCAGCTGTACTTGCCATGTGATGGAACACGTCTGCAGTCAGATCTAATTTGTTTCTCCTCAACGTCTTTATTGAGTGTGGGGTGATTGTGTCTGTTACTTTGAAACCACCCGAGAGAAGACACTGCCATCCATACTCAAGATCAAACGTCTTAAACCGAACTTTGCGAGTAAGATCCTCTTTGTGTGGCATTTTGTCTGTGACATTTGCGTACGATAACGAAAATCCCCGTTGCTTAAACCTTGCCAAAATGGGCCAGACATCTGGCTTGTCCTTTGCTGCTGGCAATTCAGATACATTATTGTCAGGAATGGTCAAACGAATGACTGAGGTATTTCCCAAATCTTCTGGGTTGATTGGGTGGATGGATACCTCTCGTATCTGGTTTTTGGCATTGGAAACGTTGAAAACTTTAGGAACATACTTTAATCCAAAGTAAATGTCCCAAGAGCTTTCATGGCGTTGAGCAACCAATCTATCTTCAATTTGACTATATGGTATCTGGAACATTTCTCCAGAAGTCTTAATTTCGACAAGTTCTCTGTTATGTTCAAACGTTGCCGCCCATTTGATCACACCGAAGACATGTGGCGATTCAGTAATACGCCAATGGCGAACGAAGCAATTCGAAGATTCAAACGCACCACCAGAAATAGTTACGTTATTAAAACAAGAAGATCTTTCTGAATTGTTGACAATTTTGTACATCCTTCGTTCCAACGGAATAACCTCCATCCACGCATCATGCTTACATTTTCCCTGGAACAAAGACCACTTTTCGAATAGCAATTTTTCAAGTTCCTGCAGGCTGACGCCATCTTGAAGTTTAATTTTAGCCCTGTAACATTCGGCAAGATAACCAAAGCTCTTTTCAACTAAAAGAAAAAGAAAATACAAATTGTTTATCGCAAAGCTCTAGATAAAATAGGTAAACAACAATGCTGGTCCCTGCTCAATTCATTGCTTTTGTTTATATGTGAAATAAACTCACTTAAAATACCATAGAAGAAATATAAATGTTCCTCAGGCCAGTTGCCTTTTTTCGTACCAAAACAAAAGTATTGTTATATCTGTGTTTTAGGAAAACATGGTACTCAAAGTATTTCTCATTTAATATTTACAAGGTGAAAGATATTTTTTTTTTTATCACAAATTTAGTTATCTTGTATATGCAATTAACCCTTAGTATCGCCTCTTTCAAAGTAACGAAAGTTGACATTTGAACCAATGTCGTGTGGATTCATGTTAAATATAATTACCCCTATCGGTTTCTTCAGTTATCCTGATAATCTCAGCAACATTTCTTGGCAAGGCATCTTCTAGAAATTGTCTGACATAGTCTGACCCTGGCAAATAGTGAAACCAGACGTCACAAGTATAATGTGTTGTATGGGGTTGCTGTTTCCTGTTCGTATCAGTCTCCTGGGTAGACCCCCCTGAACGTAGTTGTTGTTGCTGTTGTTGTCGCTGTTGTTTTGGCAGTGGTACATGTTGACTTGCCATTTTCAGGTTTGTTGGTCGATCGCTATTACTAGACAACATGTACTGATAAATGTCTGAACACGTGATGCTTTCTAGGATCTACTTCATGGATCTATCCAAAACTAAATAGGAAGCCAGTGTTTGTATTTTCCATTGTGATCATCCCTATTAAACGGAACCAATAGTTCTCCTTTTGTTCACAAAATAGTAACAATATTTGGTCCCAATTCGATGCATGTGCATTGTTTGTATTACCACCTTATAACTGGGTAAATTTGACACGTTCGGCTTGGTTGGTTGGTTGGTTGATGGATTTTATGTCTACACATCATTGGCGAAGTCGTGAGGGGGTAAGTTTCCGCTTACCAGGCCCTCGTAAATTCAAAAGTCCTGCCCTTCTAGGTCACGCTCTGAGGTAGGACAGTTCCTCAGATGTGGCAGGCTATCACAGCAGCTACAGTCCATGGAACGACTTCCTTAGTTAAGTCTTCGCTGTTCTCACATGGCACGTTATTCTGTTAACAATAATTATAAAACACTATTATGAGGAGACTAGATCCTAATTATTTTTGTCATTGTAATGTTATCTAAATGGACAAGAAGCATACACAACATTTTCCGAAAAATATCCTCAATAGTGATCAAAACATGTAATAAGTACATGCCTCTTAAATGTAAGGCGATTAGTTCCTTATAAATAGGATAGTACAAAACAGATTAGAAAAAGTTTACTACGCTAAGGTGTTACTTTTGTAAGATCTCTGTAAAAGCATACCATGTCTCCGGTACACATACACGCATTCACGTTTACACAACACAAGGGATGTACGTCCTTGAATGACATTAGCTGCTAATAGGACCACATTAAATATGCACATGAATTCTCAGTAGATTAATTACATAATGTGATTGCATTTAAGTCAAATCTTCACGTTGGTTTCTTCAATTATGAAATATGGTTGTTTACGTGGAACAAGCCTCGGTTGTTGATCCGGGAAAAGAAAGACTGAGAGAATGGATTACAAAACTATGATGTTTATTTACAATGAAAAACATATAAGCATTAAATATATCCCATGCACCCTCACAATTTCACACAATCTCTCCAACAAAGTAATAAATTGTCTATGAAGCTTCTCGCTTAACACACGGCCACGACGATGATAAATACCAAAGTTCCAAGGAATCGCAACGAAGTTCCCACAACAGTCACTGAATCGTGACCCAGCTCAATCCAGAGTCAATACCTTCAAGCAGTACCATGCTTGTATACACGTTGCTAGGTAAACGCACTAGAGTCCATGACACGACAGCACACCACAATGGTTGATTGGTTCTCAGAAGAACCGTTGCAAATAAAGTCGCCGACCTTTGCCTCCATGATGCTCTTCAGACATAGCCCCTTCGCTGACCGAGACCATGGTGAAATATAACTCTCTTGGTCGGTCCTGATGCTCAAGCAGTAATATGGATAGGAACACCCTCCTGGTCCTGACTCACTTGTTAAGACCGCTTACCCGTCTTGCGAAGCAACAATAAGTTAATTGAGAAACATAGTTAACCTAATCACTCACGTTTTCATACTTTTCTAACGCATAGCCCAAGTCCTGAATAATCATAAAATGTACTCTATTTAATTAACGATAATGTAAACTATCCTTTATAAGTTACTAGAATATGTTTAAATACGCAGAACTAATGTGCGGCTCCAATTTATACACGAAATAACACAAAAACGCACCATCCGAAAAATGACACCTCAAGGTTTCCATACATTTTCCAACCGAGCGCGTACCCACTTCACTCAACACTGTAACAATAGAACTGGGTTTCCATAGATTGATAAATAGGTAATTCATACGATACAAACTAGATAATTTCATATACAACAATCAAGTATATTCATATAGTCAATATATGATACTAATACACCCACAACATATGAAATCTAGCATGAAAACAACATAAATACAACATATTTCTACTTAAGGTGCATCAGGACATTTTGAAATCGCCATATTGGGTCGAAAACTAAAGTAAAGAAATTAGAACTAAAAGCACCGTTTCACAAGCGATCACATATATGAACTTTTGAAAGAAGAACTAAATAAAAGTATAGGTGTGTTCATGTTCTAGATATCCTACTTTATTATAGCGGAATCTGGTATTTTGAAGTACAATTGTACGTTTCGTAGTAGGTGTGATGCACAAAATTCATACCAATAAAACTGAGGAAAATTCATTTGGGTTATATACCTCTAAATATGCTGTTATATGTCAGGTATGTCGTGCCATGGCGCGATTTTAATATAATTATGCACTGCGTATATAAGCTGCAATGTTTTCAATCCAACTCCTTGTCATATTTGCCGCCATCACCCCTATTACATAAAACATGAATGTGTTCATATCACTACCGTATACCTGTACCGATTTTGGCATAAATGCACACTTTACGAAAAGGAAACGTATCTACCACTTATCCAAACCGATCAGTGTTAGGAATGTACAACAAACAAATATTTACCTTTCATAGCACTTTATTTTCGTTTCACCCGCCATCTTTGAACTACTTCTATTCCTACGCCATCGACTGTTTCCGAAACTATTACCAAAACCACCACCTGTACGTTTAAAAATACCCTTTTTATTCTCAATAATGCTTTTTTTTAACAAATTTCCCTGCATAACCATGCTTTCCAAAATTTGTTGAGCACAAAATGATGAGGGATTATTTTGGCGAATTAATATCCGGTTTAGTGTTGCAGGGCACATGCTGACAGACAACATGAACATGACTTCCTTACAAATGCGATCAGCGTTATCGATGACTCAGTTTTATAGTTGAAAGGTATGTGTATGTGTTATAAGATATTGTGCATTATTGGGTTTTTACAATGAATATCATCTTTTTGGTATTTAAAGAGAAAATTGTGCACGTCTGTGTTGTCAGTTCTCCAGCCATGTTTACAAAATGACGTATATTTTCTGCTATAAAATTACAAGTTATGTTGTATATTTTTGTATTTTATACAGCTTTTTAGTAAATAAATTACTTTATTATGTTACCAAATCATGCATACTGTTGTTATTTTTGCGCTTGTGGAAACAAATGTTTTTGCCAAACATAACGGCAAATTGTACGGAAGCCTACAGATATGCTCTTGCACTCCATGAGCAATGGCAAGTAAAACGCGAAGGAACAGGGGTAAATTCGGTCTTGCCTCTGGGAAGTACTCAGCCAAGAGGAAAAGACAACCACACTCTACAATTGGGAGGAAAACATGTCGGTATGAGTGCAAACCTAGTTCTAATAATACCAATTCTTTGACAATAACTAAGCACACCATTAGGAAGAAACATATGAAGCAAGACAGACAGAAGAGTGTAAATGACAATAGCAATTGTGGCAAAGGATATAGATTTATAAATATTCATAACTTGGACAATCATGTACAAGAGGTTACGAAACACACAGCTTTGTGCAAAAATGCACAGTATATTGCAGCTTGCGGGGGCTCCCCTCTTTCTTATCACACACAATTGACCAGTCTCGGACTAGCATGTGTGTTATTTGTAAAGTGCCACGGTTGTAACAAAAAATTCACCTTCAACACCAGCATGCAACTGCATATTGGACGATCCAGCAGCCACTATGATATCAATGTACGTGCTGTTTGGGATAGTGTTTGCACAGGACATGGTCTCGCCCATATGAATAAAATGCTCGCCTGCAACAACAGTCCCGGTAAGAAATTACACATATTGATTAAATTGGTCATCATATTCTTTCAACAATTCATGTAAATCCTCACAAACCTGTACACTGAATGCTTTACTTAATAATTCAGAAACAGTTCATGCTACATGTATGCACCTCATTATGTAAAATTACAAGTAATCATATAACCCAATAAATCCTCAACAGAACCTCAGAAAGCAATGACCAGTGGGAATGTTTATATTGGAAGCTGTTAAATACAAATTGATACAAGAGGATAGTCTTTCAATTTTAAACTCTCACATGTACTTACTTAGTCCCACATTGTTTTCTTTATGTGTAGTATTAGGGACAGTACTAGTGTTAGTTTCTAATGGAACAGGGCCAAATTGTCAAAATTGAATGAAAAATAATCTTTGGGAAAACAAAACCATTCACCTTACAATGGTTTACGTGTAATTTATTCTTACTTTTTATCAAAATAACTTGTTTTCTTATACCTGAATATCATTTCTGCACAAAATCCTATGCAACAAGACAAGAACATTGATATTTATGAAAGATGTGCCAAATGTACCCCTTATATCCGCACTTGTGATAGAAAGTGCCAATAATTGGAGAAAACAAATGTAAATATTCCAAACAATTCCCCAATTACGTTATATGCTTTAATTTTCAACTGTAAACCAAATAAGGTAAGGGGAATTATTTAGTGTTTTGAATGGCACTTGTGAATTATAATAGTATGTGAAATATTATGATTTGTAAATAATTGCATATATGAATAATTCTGTACATATTATATGTAATGATATATACAAATTTATATTTGTTTTAGGTATGACACAAAAGGTGTTCAATCGTATCGAGTCAAATGTAAACTAAAGTTAATATTTAAAGTACATTATCACTTATGTATCTTCCTGAGAGACAATGCCAATATTTGGAATTAGTTGGACTATTATTATGTAATTTTCCATGGTTGCTTTATTATCGAGGTGAGCGATACAGGCCCTCTGGGCCTGAAAGTAAATAACCGATGTTAACTGTAAAATGTATAATGTTGCCTTTTGAAATATGTTTGTTCTCTTATTTACAATTAAGGTGTACCAGCAGTGACAGTCATTTGTGATGGGGGATGGAGTAAGCGGTCCCATAATCACTCTAACAATGCCCTTGGTGGTGTCGCAATTATTATCTGAGCGAGGACCAAAAAACTACTTTACATTGGAATAAGGGACAAGTACTGCTACATTTGCAGCCGTGCTAAAGACCCTGAAGACCACACCACGAGCCCACAAGTGTTTCCAGAACTGGTATGAATCATCACAGGCCATGGAATCGGACATCATTGTGGCTAGGTTCAAGTATGCCGATAAGAAAGGGTTGAGATTTTCCACCATAATTGGAGATGGTGACTCTTCAGTTTTTGCTAAAATTCAGCAAGAAATTCCAATATGGGGGCAAAAAGTAACTAACACAGAGGGTTCCAACCATGTCTGTAAATGTATTAGATCCAACTTAGAGAAACTGGTGGAGGAAAACCCACAGTTCAAAGGGAAGGGAAAACTGACAAAAGCTGAAAGGATAAGGATAACCAGTTCCATCAGGTGTGCTATCCGTATGCGGTCTAAATCTGCAGATAAACATACTGTTGCCAAACTACTGGCACATGCTATCCGCAACAGCTTTCGTCATGTGTTTGGTGACCACACTAACTGTTCAAAGGATTTCTGCAAGGCAAAGCAGTTAACATCAGAAGCTCCAAACACTGATGATGATGAAGATGTTGACCAACAGGATGTAATGAGTGCGCAGTCAGACTATTGGAATGAAGGAGCATCAGTATTGGCACAGGAAGAGTTCTCCAAAGGAGGGTATAATAATAGTATGGTTTCAGTGGATTCCAATATGTTGGAAAGTATCAGCAGACTACTAGACAGATATGCTGCAAAAAGTTGCCGCCTTTTAGGCAATCACACCACCAGGTAAACTGTTCACAACCCTCTACAGGAAACAGAAGCAGCGACTTCAGACCAGCTATGTGTCCAAATGCCAGGAAACTGCCAAAGCGAAACGATGGAAGAACAAAGTAAGTGGTGTACAAGAGAGCATGAAAAAAAGGCAAGGATGGAGTATGGGCCTGAGGCATTAGATGTCACAACTGATATGAGTAAAGAAGACCTGACTAAACAAATGGATTCCTTCCTGCAGGAACAGGTTAACATTTCTCCAGCCAATATATGTGATATTGAGAAACTCACCAGAAATCAATCACAAGATTCCCTTTGGCACTGTGAGAGAAAGAAGAGGTTGACATGCTCCAATGTTGGTGACATTATGAAAAGAAATCCTGCAACACCAGTCAAATGGATTGAAAAACAATTTTCGGTGTAGAAAAGTGAGTGTAGTAATATGTATTAAATATATGTGTTTCTCATATGATATTAGAAACACATATATTCAATACATACTACTACACTCAGTTTTCTGTTGTTGAAAGCTGAAGATGTGCCTTGCACTATTTTTAAGTCATCCTGACGTTCAACTGTAGGTCCAAACAGTGAAGGATGATATGAAATGTATTTTGAATGGAGACATCCATTATTTGAAGAACAAACATACTGTGTAGCTAGGCCTTAAATTCTGGATTTCCTGTAGTTTAAATACAAACATGGCACATTAATTATATGTATCACATATATATGTTTTTTCTTCTAATAGTACTCCAAATGTCAACCATGCAAGCCTCTGTACTTCACATGTGGAGGTGGTGACGAATATCGACGAACATATTCCTGACATCCAGGTGCCAAGTACTTCTGGAAGTAGTGAAACAACATCATCACCCAACAAGAGGTATACTTATGATAGTAAGGTATGCGAGGATTGAAACTGTTTGAGAAATATTATATGTGATTCAAGCTGATATATTATGTTACATTGTAATGAAATTTGTAAATACTGTCAGTGTAGCAATAACTAACATGCCAGAGGTGATGGTTTTATAAAACCTGTATTATTTAAATGGTGTTGCATATTTGTTATTTATATATAAGTTTCCAAAATGTACTGTTAGGCTTTTCTGCATGCTTATTTTTCTTCAGGTGGACTGTATATATATATATATGTATATTATAAATCAGAAAAATGATCCTTACGGACGAAGAAATATTAGAAAAAGAAAAATTCTTAACAACTCGTTGTGAAGAATCCTTCTTTTTCTAATATATATATTTATATATAAGTCGTACTACTTCATTTTTCAATTAACATTGATTGAACTGAACATGTCAAAATATGTAACACCACAGCTGTAAATGTATAATAATAGAGGGTAAATATATTACAATAAATGTGGTACATTTATTATTTATACATAACTATTTTACGCAGTTTATTCGACAATCCTACTACAAATAGTCCATAGCGGAAGAGGGGTCAGTGTACATCTCAATCATCACCTTACCAACTAGCTAAACGGTAAATATAGTGGATACAGTGATATTGCTCACGTAACTTGGTAATACCATATTAATGTAGTTCATTATACCCAAGTGTGCCTGTATGTGCATGGAATATCGTCTGACAGTAAAAATATCCTGTAATTAGCCCGTAAATACAAAATTTGGTAGTCCTAATCAAAATGTAACCATAGTTGTTAACTCACAATTTCTTGTGACTTACGCTCATTTCCAGTTTCTAGTGGGGAAGTGGGGATATTTGTTACCATGTGGCATACAATTGGAGATATATAAATCCATCCATTCTGTAGTTTAAATATTATGACCATGTTATAAAAATATGTGTATTCATTGTAATGGTGTAATTAGTATATAATTCATTGTAAGATTTTACCTCAACAATTGCAAACAACACGTTATGTGGTGTTTTGGTATGTGACAAGTACTTCATTATAGACAGCAAGAAATTATTTCTATCTTGTGTGTTTTCAATGATTGGATTTCAGATGTAGGCGAAAATGTACTAGATTTGAAGGGAGACAAATTTCACATTTCTGGATAAGATGACAGAGAAGATGTAAGAAATGAAATATTATATCCTATTATATGTACAAATTAAGTGATTTATCTTGAACAACTTGCAGATGTGTCTATGCTAATACTTTTTTTTTTGTTATTTTCATTTTTACTTAATAATAAAAGAGTTGCATATATACTGGTCAGTTTGTGTGAAAATCCTATGGAGGCAATGACCAGAAAGATGTTTGAAACTATATTTGGACTTGAAAACGTTATAACACAACATCAATACTAAGTTGTATGATTTATTTAATCAAGTGTTACTGAAACTGATAGTGGAGTGTTAAATACCAATACAACATGAGCAACATATTTCAGTTTGTTTAGCTGGAAAAAAACCTTAATTAAGATTTCATTTTATGATGTTGAAAAATGTGTTATTACCAGGCTGTGTATGAAGTACAATACCAGGGTGAAGAAGATTCGACAGAAGTAGATTACACACAACTAGCTGAAGATTTTGCATGTGCACACCTGAAGTTCATCGATATTTAAATAAGGTATTATAGAAACATTGCTTTATTTACTTCCTTAAACAAAAACAAAACACATAATCGGATAGATTGAATGTGGTAATTTACAGGAGATGAGTACATGAACACTTTGAATTGTTGTTGAAAGAAAAAGATTATATTTAACGAATCCATTAGTTGGTGATGTATCTTGTACAAAACACCATGTCATAGAAAATGATTGGGAAGTTTTTGAGTGTTTAAAATTATGCATGCAAACAGACTGGCATTTATGGGCCTCCATACTTTTCAAAGTAGTCCCAAATATGGCCGACTTTGCTAAGTAAATAACATGTAGCTACATGTTATGTGTTTTGTTATAGGAAGTCATATAGTCTCAAATTGGACTAAGTAAGAGTGGCACAACATGAAGTGGTATCCAAAGTTAATATTTATTGTTAAATGGTGTACAGTAGTGAGAAATTCTGGTGGAACAAAATTTGATGGTTTGGGTTCCAAGACTCTTCAATGATATCTTATGTGAACAATTACCCTAAAAACTATTATGCAGTGATGAAACACCACATCCTGACCTTCATTTTGATATATAATAATCTATATTTTTCTCTTTTTTTCCTTCTTTTTCATTTTTTAAAACTTATGGAGCAAAAAGTATCCTGATGCACCTTGAACGCTAAACAATGGTCACGGCTGACTGGAGCGCACAGAAACCTAGATTGTTTGACCCGATAATAACACGGTACAATACAATAATACCGACTAAAACAGAACAGAGAAAGAGTGAGAGTATACTTACCACAGTCTGTATTCTGTGCCTGTTCAACATGCCGTAATATTTCTATAATCCATACCGGGTACACAAGCCACAGAAACAATGTCTGTCGCTGTAAAACAGCTCACCCCGTGCACGTCTACCCGTGACGCATTTCCGCCAAACAATCCCTAACTATTAAGGTTACTTACCCCAGTTATAAATGACAACATACACTATGCTAAAAAATGAACTCGGTACAACATACTAAATACAATATATCAACCCAAATATACTGCTTGCGTGACACAGGTAATGCTCTGTTGTGCTTTTTGTCGAATGTCCAAAACAATATCATATACACGCTATCATGATCAGTGATCATTATTGTTACTCTAAACACAACAGTGTATTTAAACACCAAACACGCAATCTTTTGTATTTCTGCTTGATTAAACATTTTGTGCTCGAAACAAAACCGTATTATGAAATACCCTAGGCGTCGATAAGTGTTTAAGACACGTAGTATAATTTGAGATTTTCCAGTACATATGACGCTATATCAATTATGACCAACAATCACTGTAAGTGTCCTGTCATGAATACATACAGTGGTACATCGACTGCTGGTTTGTGTTAGATGATATATCAGCGGTGTATCAGGATACTCAGATATTGTCTGTTACTGTTCGTGAAATGTGGGGAAACACAAATGTTCATAAAGTACATTTACTATGTTAAATATCCATGGAATCAAACATATTCTTTTATAAACAGCCTGATATCGAGACACAAATGTGACGTCTTCATAACCTTGTATCATAATACTTTTATATTGCTGTATTTCAATTCTGAGGACTTAATATGCTGCATATTTTTGTAAAGGAAGATTCCTTATACAACAAAATATACATAAATACAGTCATTAATCACTATTCGCATTTCTTGTTGTATATATGTTATATCATTTCAACTCCGTCATTTTAATAAAAAAATTACACAAAATTGGAAACAATGTCTTTGTTGGTTTCTGTTTCATGATAACAATAAAACAAAACTAGATGCGTTGCGATCTACCTAAAGTATTAGTTGGAGACCATATAAAACGCTATGTGTTATACTTATTTGTAACATTGATAAGTATTTATAAAATTAACTTGTACAAAAGTTACCTTTCTGGCATTAAACCTTGCGTATGTGTGCCTCGGGTCCAGCCTATGCTGCGGTCGCCATTTGTGACGGCTTTGTGTTTATTGATAAGTGTGCCAATACTGTACTGTATACTGTATCGTACTGTAACGAACTTTATATCACATATCTGCGATAAGTCTTTCTCAGTCGTCCTCGTGCACTAACAATTTAAATTTAACAAAAGCAAATTAAATCAACGTACCTTAGTAGGCGAAGTGTTCAGTATGGTACAAAAGTTGTTCAAGAAGTCATGAATAAGGAACAGGAATGGGACGTACTAAGATCAAAAACATACTTTAGTCGTATATATATATATATGTGTGTGTATAGGGGGTTTACATAGCATATTATGTCACGTTTATTTAGTTATGTCAACCTAAATGTATTGAAGTCATCATAAAAGAAATCTCTTGGATTCAGATGATCAGATCCATACATGCACGAATAAAAAACACAGTAACAACGTCTAGATACGGGCCGACGTCAGGTAGATCCACCTACTGTTTGGTTTGTTTTGGTTTCATGTGCTCCCAATAGCTGAGGCCATATAAATACGGACCCAAGCCTAGTACCACAAAGTTTAGTATATCTCGTTAGATAATGTTATTTCGGTTTCGATGTTTTCCTAAACATGTCACATACAGAAAACGGTTAAGATTTCCTGTAAACAAAAGTCTCGAGTGAAGTGGAACACGTTGTCAGCTTTGTGTTTCGTTAAATCATGCTGTCATTTATTATCACTTGCTTTTCATACAAATATAAACGCATGCAAGCAATTTCCTTGTACTTTCGTTTATCAAGACTAATGCTACGAAATAGAAATGCTTACCCATCCACAGCCCCGTGTTTTTCCAAGGTATAAAACAGTAAGTTTTTGACTAAAAATCATCAGTTTAACCACCTTTGTAATTTGCTGACCTTACCCAGGCCCAGCCCCGAGTTTTTCAAGGTATAAATCATTAACGTTTTGACTAAAAATCAACAGTTAACCACCTATGTAATTTGATATGCCGAAATAAAATGAAATAAAAACCGAACAAAACATAGTATCAAGTATGCACTTTTATAATAGTATTCTCAAAACACACTAAAATAAGCCACATATAGCTTCAAAACATTTCTCTCTCTAAGGCTACGCTTCATATATTTATGTACTAATAATCATTTTTCAAAATATTATAAATTAATGGGGATGGACAATCTAAATTTTGTTTGAAGATTAACGTATGTTTCTTAAAGAAAACAAAAAACTCGCCTTGCTGGTCTCGAAAATAGTTCTAAAATCATCCTGGATTAAAATACCAAAATACGATTAGTAGGCTTCAAATGGACATGAAAGAGTATTCAGAGTAATATTAAACATTTAGATCAACTCTCTGTAAAAATGCCCCCCCCCCCCCAATAACGGTATGTATACATGCATTAAAACGTCGAAATTACTCTGAATACATCAGCTTAAATCAAAACATAGTGATACTGTGACAAGACGATCTCTGATCTCTGTGGTTCGAGCGATGTATTTTTCCTCTTCTCATGACTTTACATTTGTCCGGGTGGAAATGGGCTATAGCCAATATTTTATTTCTCGTCTTGGCATTTGGCTATGAATTTGTGGAATTGTATTTACTTTACGAAATTGCGTATGCAGATTTCACGGAATGTTACTTGTTCCGGGTATAGTTCTAAATATAGAAGTCAAATCATACGATAACAGAAAACAAGACTGAGCACGGACAAAATGTTCGCTTACAATAAGACAGCGCTTCAGATAACCGAGAAAATGTAATTTCGGTGACCACGAAAAATGATTAACAGTGAATGTAGGTTATCTTGTACTATTTGTTTGAAGTGAATATCCCTTCATCCTTACGTTTAGCAAGTGTACTTAACTTCAGCCACAGGTAAGTCCAGGTATGGATTGGTTTTAAGGATCCCCGTACCACTGCCAAAAACTGCAAATGGACATTGGAAACTGTTTTTTTTCTTTCTGGCAGGACTAAAGCATTGATAAATCATTTCTGAGAAAGAACACCACACCTTGTAGTTCTTTTACATTTGTATGTGAAAATAATAAGGACGAAATAAACAAAATATAATGAACCACAGCGTCCTGAGCGTAAAGAAATAGCGAAGCCAGAACGGGATTCAAAACATTGACCCCAGATTGCAGTGTCTTAATAGTTAAATTAAATCCAAATTAAAATTAGGAGACAGGGTATAATTACTGCAAACTTAAACGAGAAGTCACTAATTATGATCTAAGACGCAGTGCGTAGCGTTTCAGTCCTCGTCTCGAGTATGCGCCACATCGTTTTGTCAAGTGTTTGATCAAAACTTAATGTAAGATGTGTTATAATTTTTTTAACAACTAGTCCTTTTTACGTTATCCAGAATGTTTTGTATAGTATAATATTCGATAATTACGTCTTAGTAGTTTTCCAAAGTCAAAAATACTCTTGTAATACATACAAATGCAATACAAAATTCAAGCGTATGTTATACATCGGTAATTCTTTATACTTTCCATGAATCACCATGAATCACTTATAATTTTTCGCGATGTGCGTGAAATAATTATTTAGACACAAGTCAGAAACAATTAATGTAACGGAAAGGAACACCAATGATCAATACTTATATCCGTTATTGATGGGTTGGGTATATCGGCCATTGGCGTTCCTTCACCAATCTAAATCCTCGGAAAAGTAAACTTAAGGATAATACCGAGAATTCGACTTGTGAGGATTATCATTTAGGTGACGATAGGCTGTTCCAGGAATGTCGTTAACATTGACGATATTTACCTAACTTTAACACCTCGTATATTAGGAAACACATTTGGATCATGATTAACCACAGAGATGTAAACGATTGGCGTTCTTTTTTCGACATGAAAATTAACAAAACACTGGTAACAATTAATAAAAAAGTCAGTTGAATTTTAAGTTGAATTCTGAGAACTGATTTTTGAGTTTCGTTTTTGGCCGTTTTCTGAAAACGCCGATCTGGCATCTGATCAATACATTTTATCTGTATACACAATGGGTGAGAACAGTTCGGCATGTATCTGTATTTCCTGTAAACAGCAGGCTTTGCTCCAGTTAAATACGTGGAACAAGATAACGCTAGGTATGAAGTTCAGCGAAAACTAGATACGAAATATAGTTTATTTAATAACACATACTTGATGTACCTATGTGTCTTGAAGGATTTTGTTCTGTTCAAAGAGTTTTATTGCGCATTGCCGTTGTGTGTGTGATAATAGGTACAGCATGATTGGTTTTATATTCTTCTATCGTTTCACTTTCACCTCTTCAATCACATATATCTGTCCGGTTTAACACGGAGAACCGACAGCTGGGTCGCTATACATGTATGACGTAACCGTAGCTCACAGTGCGATTACCGAGTGAAATATTCGGATGTACATTATTGACAAATTGTATAGACGAAATCCTGTGAAGCCTATTTCCATGTCTTCTAGCCAGTTAAACCATGTCATCGTAAGAAATCTGATACGATTTTAATCCCTAGTTATTTAAAGGGCTTCGACACCCTTACAGGTAGGGAATTGAGAAAAACATTATACCTGTCGTTACCCGAACGTTGTATGTTGTAGGAGGCGACTAAGGTGGGAACCCCTGTATGTTGTAGGAGGCGACTAACGTGGGAACCCCTGTATGTTGTAGGAGGCGGCCAACGTGGGAATCCCTGTATGTTGTAGGAGGCGACTAACGTGGGAACCCGTGCATTCTTTGGGATTTGCTTTTGTGCCTTCTATCTAAGGTGGTCGTTTGACGCAGTGGATAGCGCATTTTCCTTCCACCAAGGCGGCCGAGTTCGATTCCCCGATCGGACATGAAAAGTAATGGTCTCACTTGCCCGACTACATAGGTTTCTCCGGATACTCCTGTTTCCTTCCACAATAAGATCCCCCCGCGCTAACATACGGGCCAACAAGAGTGATTAATATAAATTGAAATAATTTGTTTCATAACTGTTGTAAAATAAATATATATATTTAGGGACAAAACAATGATCAAAGTAAATCTGCTCCACACATTCAACCATTTGGGATCTTTATATTGTCTCTGTATTTCTTAATACACGTGTGCAGGTTGGGTATTTAGAAAAGAGTATACCTGCTCTTACCCAATGCAGAAGCAACGAATGTGGGAACTCGTGTAGAAGTGAGGGTTTGCTTGTATGCCCTCTGCCTGGGGACACGAATGTGTCCAAAACAAATTTAAGTCCTGCATTGGGATCTGTATCTTTCTCTCTACTTCCTAATAGCTTCCTTTTCCTAGTGAATATTTGGCAATACTTCACTTTTGGCCTTAGTTCCCCGAACGTTCGGCCAAGTGAGGAAG